AATGCAAATCAGGAACATATGTGAGAACATGTCTGCACTTGGTCAAATGCACTGCTGAGAAATGAGGCAATTTTGTCTGAAGACAATTGTACTTCCAGAACATGAAAGCAAAGAAAGGGTTCATTGTGTAGCTTTGGAAATGCAGTTGTTTCATGAAAAAAGATGAGCTCTAATAATAGTAAAAGTGGCAGAGACCCAGTCTGAAAAAACTCTCAGATCGTACTATAAACAGGACCTTCATTTTGAATTCAGGCATCTTCCATTTTTAATACAACTCTGCTGCTGCAGCAATCTATTTTCTGCACCTCCATAAAACACTCCATAGTCAAAAGCCAAGAAGTCTCCCAGCCACCGCCCCACGACTGTGCTGGGGTAGGGCCTGAAATCACAGGTACTGCAACAGTGCTGAATGTGGCCGGTTGTAAAGCAAACCATGGCTGTCACCGAGAGGTCAACATGAATCATCTGCAATGGACAACTTCTTTTCTGGAACTAAGAACTAATAGGACATCCCACGTATATTAAAAAAAAAAAAAAAAAAGAAAAATTAAAGAGCAGATGTGTGCAGAAAGGTTCCCAGGCTCAAAGGCCATTCCTAAGCAGTGTACTCTTCACCAAGTAAAACATAAAACCACAGCACTGGGCACATTTCTACAAGGCCTTTCTTTTGTGAAGCATGAAGTCCATTTCATTACTGTGCGGCTGTCACCTGGCATTCCACAGCGGACTACAAGAAGCTGTTATAAGGTTTGTGTAAGATGGGCCACAGTGCTGCTGCTTCCTTGTTGAAGGAAAAGGCTTGTTGTGTCAACAAAAGGTTTATGAGTTCAGATTCATACTTTCTCCTGTGGCTTTTACCACACACTATTAAAGCCTCAGATTGAAAATAGAGCTAATTTTGCCCACCTACTTCAGTAACAGTAGGCAATAAGCAGAACAGCTCAGATGCCAAGAGACTCTATACAGCTTCCTCTAGCCAACAGGAAAAGCTTAGCACAAAGTTTCTGAAACCACCCAAAGACATTCCAGGAGAAGGATTCCCACCCTTGATTTCCAGCCAGCTCTACCAGGTGGTGTCTGGTAAATATTTTTCAGCCCCTGAATATGAATCCTTAGACATCCAGCTCCCAAGGAAGAGCTGGTAGTCACTCCTGTTTCTCATCTACAGTCATTAGATGGATATCTATACCAAGTGTTATGGAGTAGTTTTTTTTTTTTTAAAGCAGCATGCTCAGTTTTGAGAATTACATAGTTTAGAGAGGTCCCAAATCAATAAGACTTAGGCTTCTGCATATCACTCCTAATTAAAAAAAAAAAATCCAAACAAAAAAAACCTGAAGAAACCCCTTGGCTTTTATTCTCCCTAAGGAGAAAGAGGTAATTAACAGCATCTATTTTTAGGCATCAAACTGTTGGTGCCTAGGTGAGCGAGCTACTCAACCTCTACAGGAAATGTGAGGGAGACAGGCTGCTGCAGAGCCTGGAGTAGTTGCCCTTAATTGTCTGGGGGAGAGCTTTTCCCCCTCCTCGTGCTCTGCTTCACAGTAAACTGGTTAGATTACCAAAGGCCTTTCAATAGACAGGAAATCAAGGTGTCCGAACTAAGTAAAGCAGTGGAATGAATACTTACTAGTAGAGTTATCATTGTAATCCCATGCCTCAACAAGCAATGTGTAGGATCTCTGCAAAAGAAAAATAAGAGTTAGTTTCAAAGCTACACATGATTGTAAGGAAGGGGAAGGAAAAAAAAAAAAAGAAAGAAAGAGGAAAACCACACCAACAATTTTACTTAAACAGAAAAATCCTGGTCTCTGCCCTAAAATGGAATACTTGAAAACATAAATAGGTGATAGATTATACTTGAGACAAACATGATCTTCCTGAAGCCCCATAAGCTACCTTATCCAGTCTGACTTAGAAGACCTTTCACCTTGGATAGCTCATCTTTGACATCATTAATGCATCTTATGTACTTAACCAGGAAGTACAGCCTTTGACACTATGCTGTAGCCACAGTAAAGCATGTGTGGAAGAATTGCACATGGAAGACAGAACACACCGAGCCAGCATAGCAGCATCAAAAACCCCCAAAAAACCAAACCCAACCCCCCACCCTCAAAAACTGCTTCAAAAGAATTTTAGTTACAGAAAAGTAGTCTTGATGTCCCTTCCCCCAACCATCCTGAAAGCAAGAAGTGTTGCTAAGATTACTGTGCTCTGCCTTGACAGCGCAATCTCTAGGGACTTTGCTTTTCAGCACCCCCTTTGAAAGCTTTGTCTGCATGAGGGCCATCGCAGCTCCCACAAGTATCAGGTAACTGAGGGAAGAACTGATGGATATGGGAAGGGGGTGGGGTGAGAGAGAAGCATTGCAAAACAAAGGCTCAGATCAGACTATTTGG